ACTTGTAACAACAGAGAGATAGTTCCAGCATGCTTTTGGGCAAGCTTGTTGGTTGCGCTGCTATCTGTCTCTTTCTTGTCATCAAGTGGCAGCATTCTTCTGTTGATAAATAAGACACAGCAGATCAGACATAAGTTAAGTTAATTTTAAAGAAAAGGTAATTCGGTAAACTTTACAGCATAGGTAATTCTTTAAACTTTACAGTAAAGGTAATTCAATTAACTTAACAGCAACATGAATTTCAGTTAACTTTACACCCGTGTGGGTTCCGGGGCCCCATTGTGGGGAAAACAAGAATAGACCCACTGCCTCCCCAAAAGCATGTCGTAAGAGTCGACTAATTGGGAAGCTTCCTTTGAAGTCGGAGTGCATCTGCCGGAGAGGCAAGGAACCAACAGTCTGTATTCAAGAGAATGAGATCTGTAAAACTGATGCACACGCAACACTCAGGTTCTGGAGCAGGACTGCAGTTCAGTAGTGGACGAGCAACCAGAACCTTCCGCCAGAGTTTACAGCTGGTGAACGTGAAGAAGAAGAAGAAGTTAACTTTAGAGCAAAGGTAATTCAGTTAACTTCACAATGAAGGTAATTCAGTTAACTTTACAGTAAAGGTAATTCAGTTAACTTTACAGCAAAGGTAATTCACTTAACTTTAAATCAAAGGTAGTGCAGTTAACATTACAGCAAAAGTAATAAAATTAACTACACAGCAAAAGCACACAAATATTTTCTACATAGGCATTAGATACTACTTATTGTGCAGCACTGTGGTTCAGAGGTTAGTGAAAAGAGTACCATGATAACAAAGTCAGCTGGTACAAAAGTTTAGTTGCGTATCCTTTACAGGACGTGGCAGAACCAACCCCAACAGCCCCTGACCCTGTCAGAGCATTTGTTTCGTTATTCGGAGCTGTTCCTAGTTTTGCCGCGATTTGTTCCTCGGCAGGAAGCATTTTGCATAGGACTGAGGCCCTGTTAGGGTATTTGTTTGGCTGCCATAATATGGGGTAGAAGCTCGGAGGAGAGCCTTTTAATGTGTTACACTTGTGAACTTTCAAAATTGCATTACCACCTCTCAGGCCTCTGTTGCTAAAGCCCCTGGGACTAAAAGAGTTAAGAATAATGTTAAATATACTCCTAGGCTTACTCACTTTTTCTCCACTTACCTCTTTCTGTGCATCCTCTAAACATTTCATTGCCTCATATCTGTCTTTAGAATTTCTTAAAGGCTGCACCATAACTTCGTCAATTTGTGGAAACACCTATATTCATCAAACGTGTTAGTAGTTAAACATTTATTTCACCAGTGTAAATACATACACAAATTTACATACAAAACCAACAGACAACATTTTGCTAATGCTATGGAAAAATTTTTAACTTAGAAAAACGACCCCCCAGTAAATTATTTACAGTACTAAATTCTCTTGGCTCAGAACTGGCTTACAAACAGCATCCTGTCCTCGAATCTGAAGTAGTTTGGCCATTTTAAATGTCACGATGACCTGGAGAAAGCAGTGATCAAGGGTACATTACTTGGCTCTCTTTGCTGTATTGGATGTTAATTTCTTCATCCATTTTCCCATCTTCGGTGAATGTTGTTCATAGAATTTTAATCTCAGATGTTTTTTTTAAAAATGCCTTTGCTTTCAGCTACTATATTAAGGTTTTGCTTCTTTTTTCCTGAAAAACTTTCACAACATTAAATGCCACAAACGGTTAGAAAGAATAAAATGAAAAAAATAAGGGGAGGAAGCGGCCAGCACAAAGATGGACACATTCTTCTCCTTCTGTTTTTGTCCTTAAAAGGACAGCCTGTTTGGTCTGTTTTTGGTTTAGAGCAGGGGTTCTCAACCTTGATATTGCTGCGACCCTTTAATACAGCTCCTCATGTTGTGGTGACCCTTTAATACAGTTCCTCATGTTGTGGTGACCCTTTAATACAGTTCCTCATGTTGTGGTGACCCTTTAATACAGTTCCTCATGTTGTGGTGACCCTTTAATACAGTTCCTCATGTTGTGGTGACCCTTTAATACAGTTCCTCATGTTGTGGTGATCCATTAATACAGTTCCTCATGTTGTGGCCACCCTTTAATACAGTTCCTCATGTTGTGGTGACCCTTTAATACAGTTCCTTATGTTGTGGCGACCCTTTAATACAGTTCCTCGTGTTGTGGTGATCCATTAATACAGTTCCTCATGTTGTGGCGACCCTTTAATACAGTTCCTCGTGTTGTGGTGATCCATTAATACAGTTCCTCATGTTGTGGCCACCCTTTAATACAGTTCCTCATGTTGTGGTGACCCTTTAAGACAGTTCCTCGTGTTGTGGCGACCCTTTAATACAGTTCCTCGTGTTGTGGTGACCCTTTAATACAGTTCCTCATGTTGTGGTCACCCTTTAATACAGTTCCTCATGTTGTGGTGACCCTTTAATACAGTTCCTCATGTTGTGGTGACCCTTTAATACAGTTCCTCGTGTTGTGGTGACCCTTTAATACAGTTCCTCATGTTGTGGTGACCCTTTAATACAGTTCCTCATGTTGTGGTGACCCTTTAATACAGTTCCTCATGTTGTGGTGACCCCCAACATAAAATTATTTTCATTGCTGCTTCAGAACTTCAGTGAATTTGTGTTTTCTGACGGTCTTAGGTGACCTTTGTGAAAGGGTTGTTTGACCCTCAAAAAGGTCATGACCCACAGGTTGAAATCTGCTGTATTAGAGCCAGGCTATGATATCTGCACCTTTTGGACCAGTATTTCTGATTCCAGCAAACCTTAACTTTTGATATCTCATTCTCCCTGTGTGGGTTCTCTCATCAATGTCTGCCTTTAGATTTTTCTTGGGTGTCCACATCACCCAAATCCCCCCTATTTTTCCTTTTTCACTGCCTGTTTGATGATTCTCTGTCTGTTTCTTCTCAGAATGTGTTCAAATTAGAACATTTTTTAATTTTCCCTAACAGTTTATACTAATGATTGCCCAGACAATTCTATTTTTTCTTCACTCCTCTTGAATACATTTCATTTTATGTTCTCTAATGACATGCTTGTAATTAAATAACACTGGATACAATTGTGTCCCCCCCCCCCTACCCCTTCCCCACCCAAACTGGCCCCTGAACCACACAGGAAAGAAGTACCAATGATAACGATGACTCCTGAAGCATGGAAATTCACAGCACAATGGACCAAGAAACCTACTGGTGAGTCTTGAAGGGAATGTTGTTCTGCAAAGTACATCCTTATCATCAGATGTTGAATCAAGAATCTACATCACAGCACTTGGGCCACTCACATAAGCGCTCCATCCCAATCTTCAGCAGCAAATAAAGAGTTCCAATTCCAATGGTACCAGTAACTGTCTGATTGTATATTCGTCTGACCCTTTCCCTGAGTGTTCAGCATCCGCCAGATCCCCTGTTAACTCCCCACAGAGCCATTCTCCTCAGACCGTAATGATCTATCGATGCATCGGCACTGTTCACTCATTCCCAAAGGGCCCTTACAATGTCTAGCTTGTCATACATCAATTCACCACCAAGTGATGCAGAACCGGCCAGTCTATCTGCCTGTTCATCTCCCAACACATTGGTGTAATCTGGAGAAAATATCCAAAGGAAGCTAACTACCTGGGACCTCTGAAGTAATGCTTGCCACTCTGCATAGAGAATGCCTGTCTCCACCTTTCTGAACACGCTCTATGAGTCCTCATCAAGTGTCTTGCCACCTGACATGGGTAATCAAGCCTTGCCACAAACTGCGACCTTTAATGACATGTATCAGCTCATGTGTTGACACCCTTCTATGCCATGACAAAAGGCAGCCAAAAATCATCTCAAGTTGTTTCTTCTGTCTCTTGTTCCACAGATCTTTCATGTACTAGTTTTCTTTTTCTCATAACATGACCAAAAAATAGTGATGTTTGTGATAAGGTGTCTTTGAGCCATCACCCTTTTTTAAAAACGTCTGTGTTGCTGTTTTTGGCTGTCCAAGGAATTCTAAGGATTCTCATGTAAAACCACTGAGGCCTCAAGATATTGTTCACCTTGTTTATTAATTGTCTAGGATTCAAAACCGTATGTTACAACTGGTTTTATATTATACAGCATGCAAAAAACAAACTTTAAAAAAACAAAAAACCTCAGTGACATGGTTTTATTGCATAAAATGTTCATTTCATGAGATGCAGTTGTAGGTAAAGTACCTAAGTGTTGGTCTCTGTGGCTTAGGTGTTGCGAACACGCTTCCTAATGCAGGGGTACCTGGTTCAATCCCAGCTGCAGACTATTTGGCAGCAAAATGTCCTACATTGGTTTCGACAGTGGTGCAGAGAGCTGATGGTTCAGTAAGGAATGCAAACTACTGAACATAAAATTTGCCAAGAAAACCGCAACAGCCAACAAATATTAAGGTTGTTCTGCAACATCTTGTAAAGGATATGCAACTGAGGATATGCAACTGAGGATATGCAACTGAGGATATGCAACTAAGGATATGCAATTGAGGATATGCAACTGAGGATATGCAACTGAGGATATGCAACTGACTTTTTAACCTACTGCATGGTAATATGAGGAGAAGAAATATTGACATCTTGAAAGATCTGAACATGAAGGAAGATTGGCTAATAAACAGCATCATGTCTCAAAAGCTGAAATATTTTGGTCATATCAAGCGCCACAACGGTTTGGGAAAAATTATAGCAGAAGGCATGGTACCAGGAAGGAGGGGCAGGGGCCGACTGACACGAAGATGGGCACAGGATATAAGTGACTCCTTGAGTTTGAAAGTTCATGAGGTGGGAGAACTGGCGAGAGACCGAGTTTCTTTCAGGCAGACTGTGAGGAGAGCGACGTTCTGCAAAGGACCTGCTACATGATGAAGATGATGACATGATAATAGCAGTTTTCATAACGACAAAGACATAAATAATGAAGCAATGAAATCCTGTAAAAAAAAAAAAAAAAAAAATCAACATCAAGCAAGCAGACTCACCCTAGCAACAGTTTCAAACATGGGGATGAGCACAAACTTGATGAACCCAATCTGAGCTGTGGGCTTGGTCACCTTGTCCCGGTCCATGAACGGAGCCACCGGCAGACCTTCTACCTTCTCTCTGTCACTCTGTGAACATTTTAACAGTCATGCAGTAGAAACTCCAAGAGGAACAAGCACAACATGAGTTTCCTGATCAGCAGAAGTTGTTCCCCCTTCTTTGAATGTTTTGGTATTTCGACCTTCTTTACTCTCTCTGGGGTTCGGCCAACCCAGGTCATGAATCCTGGATTCATTTCCTGTTATGCAGCTGAATCTTGCCAGTAATAGAGAACTCATGAGTTAGATTGATTGTCGCTAAGATTGCTTACTCAGTTCTCAAGGCCGTACATTTCAGCAAATACAGTTATTTTAACAAATCCTTCATCATCATCATCTTGTACCATTTTTTTTAAATTTTAAAAATACTCCTTGCATAATGTATATTGGAACATATGACCACTGGGACCGCAGGCAAGAATATTAGCCACTGTACCAACAAAAGTACCAGGAGAAGATTCATCATCATGTACCCTGCCAACTGGTGTAGGTGCTCATGCGTCTCCACAGATCATGATCCCTGGTTGCCTGGAACAGCTCTCTTGATGATATTCCTCCATGCCATCGTTTCAGCCCATCCAGCATCATCTCTCTTGGTCTGCCTCTACCCCCTTTTCCACTGATCTTTCCAGTTGTCACGATGTTCTCCAATGTCTCTCTTCTCATTATGTGGCCAAAGAACAGTGTTTGTCTCTTTCTTATTGTTGTATATAGAGATCTGCTTTCATTGGCTTCTTTCAAGCAATCGTTGTTAGTTACTCTGGCCGTCTAAGGTATTCGTAACATTCGTCTCACACAGATTCATCATCATCCCCATGTCCATACAAACTGGCATAGGCGCTCATGCGTCTCCACAGATAACGATCTCTGGTTGCCTGGAACAGCTCTCTTGATGATATCCCTCCATGCCATTGTTTCAGTCAATCCAGCATCATCTCTATTGGTCTGCCTCTATCCCCTTTTCCACTGATCTTTGCAGTTGTCACCATGTTCTCCAATGTAGGAGAAAAGTATAATTTAAATATATTTGTCATCTTTCATGCCAAAAAAGGTACTAACAGAAGAACATTATGTGAAAATACCTCTCCGTGGCGTAGCGGTTACATGCTCGCGTGTGGATCGGAAGGTCGTGGGTTCGCTCCCTGGCGGAGCCGGACTCTTTTAAAAAATGACCTTGACTCCCAGATTGACCCAGCCTTGAGTAGGTACCAGGTGCAGTCCCGGGAGGTAAAGGCAGCCAGCGTGATGCTGACCACATCAGCCATCTTGTGCCGATTAGTCTATAAAAATATAGGTCTAGCCCTTTATGCCCTATGCGCCTAAAGGCGTGGAAAAGGGTCCTTTACTTACTTAACTTACCTCTCATACGTCATGCCACTAAAAGTACCCACAGAAGAATAAAATAAAAAAATATATGTCATATTTCATGCCCCTAAAAGTACCAACAGATGTACATTATTTCAAAACATTGCTCATACTTTTTAGCATAAACAAAAAGAAACGATGATGAAGACAACTGAAGAAGGAATGGACACACACACACTGAAGCACATGAAAAGATATCAAAGCAAATGAAAGTAGAGCTACTCAGCTTGATATTATCACAATCTCAAGCGATAAGTGAATGTTGCAGCTAGAAAGCCTTCAACAGCACACAACATAAATAGACATTTACATTTACAAACAGGAATACATAAAATCCCTTACAAAAGCGGAAGATGAAGGAAAGGTCACTAACCTGATTAAAGTACTCCTCTAAAAGACAGTCGACCCAGGGCTCGGAAACTTCTGTAGGGCGGACTTCATTGGAGATATCACAACATTTGATAAGGACCATCTTCAGCTGTTAATGGAGTAAATCCCTGTACATTCATGACACTATCAATGATAATAATAATTCTGAAATTTTCACAGCCATGTATGAACTTATCTTTCCTGTGCCTGTTAGATAACCTTGTATACAGATTTTTGTCTTCTTTTTCTTCAAGTGCCTGTCCTGCAACAGCCATCAGCATTTCTCATTTTCCAATCCCCTAGTCCTTTGACACTGTAATAAAGTTGTTGGTTATATATCTATTCCTTACCTGGCTGATGAAACTTTCCATATACTTTTTCCTCTGTCATTGTTTAAACCAGTGTTTCCCAAACTTGTCTTAGTCGCAGCTCCTTTTTTCAATTAACATTTTTCCACGGCGCCTTAACCTAAGTAAATGTATGACTATTCGTATGTAAGAGATAAAAAAAAAAAAAACTTGTGTATCTTCGAATATTTTGCAGTGCCACTGTGAAGAGCTCGTGGCTCCCTGGGGGAATCACTGGTTTAAACGATCCACTGATTTCTTCAGCTACCAGCATTTGAGCATTTTCTTTCCTCTCTGTCCAGTTAAGTTGAGTTGAGTCAAGAATTGACATCAGACCACTCTGGATATTTCCATGGGTGCTCTGTCGTAATCTTCAGCAGCCAGTGCAGAGTTCCAATACCGATGGTACCGGTCACAATCTTGTTATATGTCCGTCTCGCCCTTCCTCTGTGTGTAGTGAGATGGCTAGACCCTCTGGTTACAACCGGGTGTCTCATTCTCTCCAGGCCATAATAATCTTGTTTCTCTACTGATTCCGTTGCTTGTTTCCACAGGGCCTTGACCACATCTGCCCTGTCCTGTATCAATTCACCACCCAGTGGTGCAGATCCAGTCAATCTGCCTGTTCATTACCCACCACGCCCGCATGGTCTGGAGACAAGATCCAAAGTATGCTCTCTATCCGTGACCTTCCCAGTAAAGCTTGCCACTTTGCTCGAAGCAGCCCTTTCTTCACCTTTCTCAGCCCACTCATCATCTGCCCATCATATTCTCAATAATTCTTCTCAAAACATATTCTCCAGTCTCCAGTTTTCTGACAATGCCAGTATTCACATCTCTATAGAAGAACTATTGAGGAGAATTGGTTCATAAACAGCATCTCCTGTCCTGAAAGCTGAGGTACTTTTACCATGTTAGACATCATGGAGAGCTGATGAGAGAGATGATGCAGGGTGCAGCTAGTTAGTTAGTTGACTTTTCATCATTGCACTCGGGACATGTCCATAGGTGCTCAGATCCTCCCTTCAGTATGAACCTTAACGTCCGATGGCTAATAATACCAGTTCTATGTTGATTAACAAGTCTTCTGGTGTGTCTGGTGTGCGTCTCGTTTTTTGGTATGCCGATCTTAATTCCAAAGTCTGCCATTCTGGCGAGTGATGTGGATTCACTGCCCCCAAAGTCCTCTATCTTTCCCATTTCTCTGAGGGTGCAATCTCATGGCATGCAGGTGTGTCGTCGGCACACAAACTGACATATGCTGTTGAAGATATCAGATTGTGGCAATCCACTTGAAGATGATGATGCAAATGGATCATCACTTACTCACACTAACCAAACAAACTCATTCTATTATTATTATTATTATATTTAAATAATGACTTTTACTTTCTTGTTGGATGACACAAAAACTAAGATTTCAGCAACATTGTCTTCAACACTGTTTTTCTAGGCACAGGGAACTACTAACAGTAATAGGTCAATGATGTTTTACGTTGTTTTACGTATAATTTGTCTTTTCTTATGATGTTTGCTAACTGTGAGGATTCTGTGTTTTCTGTGCTCTGTTTATGCATAAGACACTGTTTTCAAAGACAAGTCCAATAGTGGCTGAAACACTCAATCAACATCCAGCAAACAGATTCAGTGAGGAACTATATTATCTGAAAAACATCTCATCGTAACACACACAAACATGGAACACTAATCAATGAAAAAAATGTAGGTGAAGGAAAAACAGCAATGTGCATTCTGTGTGGGTTTCACTGGCAGGAATGAAACAGTTAAAGAATCACGCTTTGTTGAAGTTGGAAGACTAAATGACTGTTAAGAAAGGTTAAAAAAACAAAAACAAGTAGGCATACCGTGTCCAGGTGATCTTTGTTTTTGTCGTCGAAGCCGGCAGCGATCTTTTCTTTGAAACTTTCCATGATTTCCCCATGCCTGGCCATGTCGGTGGCCAGTATCAGCATGGTCATACCCTGTTGTCATGGAAGAGATCATCTGAACAAGACTGGAGTGGATGACATAGTGAATAAAAATAATAGATGATGTACAAGATTTTGGTATCCTCACAGCACCCCCTTGTGGGATGCAATTTTTGGGTTATTTGAAGCCCCACCATGGCTTTTGCTGGGGGCCTCAAATATAGCCAGGCCTCAAATATAGCCAGGCCATAAATATGGCCAGAAATGCTGAACAAGCATTTCTGGGACCTCTCCTCAGATGATCCTAATCCGCATGGTGGCACTTTGTGTCACCGGGTGTTTATTGCTTTGTGTGAGGTCCTGGTGGGGTAGAACTTACATACATACGTGCAAAAGATACTGGAGCAAATGATGGAACTGAAAATGGAAGAGATGGCATTTTGAATGTAGGAGTCAATGGTGTAAAAGAAATTGGAGCAGATGATGTGAACAAACGTGGAGGAGATGATGTAATAATCACAGGTATAGATTGTGTAAAAAATACTGGAACAGAAGTTGTAAATGAAAACAGATCCAATGATATAGTCAATATAGGAATAGATGATGTAAAAGAAATTGGAGCAGATGATGTGAGAGAAAGTCAGCAGATGATCTTGGGAAATTAGGAATAGATGGTGTAAAAATACTGGAACCAAGGCTGCAAATGTAAATGGAGAGGACATAGAGAATATAGGAATAGGTGGTGTATAAGATATTAGAAAAGGTTATGTGAATGAAAATGGAGGTGACAATGTAGTAAATATAGCAACAGAAGATGCAGAAGATAGTGGATCAGACAATGTGACACAATAGAATGGATTATATAAGAGAAAATATAATAGATTGTGTTTCTGTTTTATTCTTCTTGCTGTTATTGTCATCCACCTCATTTCTCCTTCTTCCCATTCTCTGTTGTTATTGCAATGTCTACTCAAGTCATTTTTTCAGGGTGTCCCATAAGTTTCTATGCATAGGAAAAAAAACAACCACATTTTATAAATGAAAATCATATTTATTTCTTTAATATGCGCTACATGTCCACCATAGTTTTGAAAACACGTTTTGATGTGTGTCCTCCGCAGATGAAGAACATTAACACAGCCTGTATTGGTGTAGGTAGTGAATTTATTTTCCTTATTTATGAAACCTTACGGAACACCCACTGTCATCATTGGCAGCTTTCTGTCTTTCCAGATGACAGTGTTATATCGCGCTACGAGGAGGCACGGGACTCACAGCTTATAGCGATGGCGAATATAACTAGCAAGACCCGCCTTCGGCAATGATAGCATGGGATTTCAGAACAATTGTTGTCAACATTTGTGTTTAGTCTGTTTCTTCTTAGACACTCAGCTGTCATTCTTTCTGCAGTCATTTCTTCCTTCACTCTCATTCCCTTCCTGATGTGCCCTTTCCACACAACATGGTCCATGGCATTTTGTTCCCACGAGTTCACTTCAATACCTGTATCCTTCATGTCCAGCTTGCACACATCTTTATATCCTAGGAGAGGTCAGCCGCCAATTGACAAGGCATTATAAACTGTAACTGCTGCCTCTCAATTTGTTTCCGAAACTGATTAAGGCCAAGGATGAAGTTCATTCTCTCCATAGCACAAAGCCTGGGCAGTATTGTAGAGACCATATGTTGCCTATGCATCATGATCCCTATCTCAGCCTGCCTTGTTTACCCCAAAGAATAGGTAACATCAGTACATTTGGAACAAAGCAGGCTGCAGAAGCTGCTGGATCAGAAGAGAAGTGCTCTATCTGTCCGCCTATCAGAGCATCACCAGCTGCCAGCTAAGGCTAAGGGCCTGGTCTGCCCTGCCATAAGATAAAGTTTTCAGGTTACATTTCCTCTTCCTAGGATAAGGCTAGAATCCTCGCCAATGCGCTCCTCCGTCTCAATTACTTACATAATACCTACTTACGTCCTTTTCAAGACGTAATTTTTTCTTATTTGAAGCCCCACTCTGGCTTTTGCCAGGGGCCGCAATATAGGCAGGCCATCAGTATGGCCAATTGTCTGAACGCGGTTTCTGGGACCTCTCCACGGTGATCTTCATCCGCATGGTGGCACTATGTGTCATCGGGTGTTTATCGCTTGTGTGATGTCCTGGTGGGGTAGAAATTCAGTTCAATTCTTCCGTCTGAAGCCGTTGGCACAATATAGGATATTGGGGTTTGGTATACACCACCTAACATTCGACAATACCTCTTTGAGTCCCAAAGAACAGATCATACGTTCATAGATTCCTACTTAGAGGCCCAATGAACGCATGATGCGCAGATTTTACGTCTCTTTTGATTACCCCTCGGGCCTGTGATGCTAAGCCCCCTGGGACTCAAAGAGTTAATAGTAGACAGGTAGTACTGGCTACTTTTATACGGTAGCTTGGTCATATGTGACTAAGACCTGACTCAAAACACCCAGTGTAATAGTGAAATTAACAGCTTGTTTAGATGCTTTGATATCTATGTTTGCTGCTGCTTGCCTCTGAGGGCAAAATTAAAATGATTCATTTAAAAAATAAAACATACAGGAACACACATAAACGCTTTGTTTACCGCTCTGATTCTTTTAAATGTGTCTTTGTCAACATTTGCAAAAATATTTGTGTCTGGGTTGGAGAGGATCTGAAAGGCCACCGCACAGTGATGGTTCTCCAGAGGAGAGATGTCGTTATATCTGATGGCTAACTCTGTTCTTGCATTGATCTGATATCTGAGAAAGGAAAATAAATAATAAAAATGATGAAGAAATTGACAATTTCACCAACTTTGAATATTTAGACTCTATAATAAATGGCAATAGAGACTGTTTGACAGAAATCAATAGGAGGATGTCCATAGCAATGCAAAGATTAAACAGCATTAAAAATCTGTGGTTAAACACCAACAAGAAATTAAAATTAAAATTTTGAGAGCATGCATCTCCTCTGTAGCAAAATATGGATGTGAGTCATGGACTATCTCCCAGTCCTTAAGAAAGAAAATAGGGCTTTTGAGCTGAAATACTGTAGAAAGACTCTCAAAATATCTTGGACAAAGAAGAGAAGAAATAATAACATTCTTAAAGACCTGAACATCAAGGAAGATTGGCTACTAAACAGCATCTTGTTTCGGAAGCTGAAATATTTTGGTCATATCAAGTGCCATGACGGATTGGAAGAAAAATAATAGCAGAAGGCATGGTACCAGGAAGGAGAGGCAGGAGCCGACCAACACAAAGATGGGGACAGGATATAAGTGACTCCTTGAACATGAAAGTACTTGAGGCGGGAGAGCTTGGGAGAGACCCAGTTTCTTTTAGGCAGTTCATGATGAGAGCGACGCTCTGCAAAGGACTTGCTCATGATGATAATATGTTGTTTTAACTCCTTAGTGATGCACCTGAATGGATACAGTGAAATATGACAGACAATATATTGTTTGTGTTTGCATTATTTAAACAGACAGAAATGGCAGTTTTATGGCTGTGTTTCTGATCCTCAACTCTTTGAGTCACAGGGGGTTTAGCATCAGAGACCCAAAGGGTAGTCAAACGATACGTAAAATCATCGCATCTTGAGTTCATTGGGCTTCTGGGTAGGAACCTATGAACGTATGATGCGTTCCTTGGGACTCAAAGAGTTAACTCAACTCAGCTCACTGAAACTTACGTGTTATTGTACCCAGGATGATCCAGATCGTGACAGACAGCTGCTGTCAGTAAGATGCCCAGATCCTCAGTTCCCATTCTCTCCCAGAGCTTGCACAAGTGCATCATCCCATACATCATTTGTGTCACGCAGAAACAGTGTCGGAAGTTGTGGAATGGGTTGTTGCGGTAGTTTTCTTGGACACACAGCTGCAGGAGATGCCAAGATAATGATCCAGAATTAATTAAACATGATGAGGGTATAACATCAGTCAAACCGAAATTATGGATAATTCATAATTAAACAATTACATTGCAGCCATCAGTCAGTTCAATTAATTAATAATTTAAGATAAATAATAGCAAAAGCGAATGGATATCTAGTTTAGGAATTGAGGTGGAGGCAGTCATTACAGCTTTCCTGTAGCTTGAGAAACAAGGTGTACACATATGTTGTAATTCTAACTGACTCACAGAGCATGTTGAACAAGGTGGAAACAGATATGCCCTGTGCAGAGTGACAAGAATGGCTTCATAGGTCTGGGGTAGCTTAGAAATTTCTCCAGGTCATGCCAGTTTGTTGGGAAATGAACAAACAGATAGAATTGCTGGTTCTGCAACACTTGGTGGTGAGCTGATGCATGACAAGCTATATGTTATATGGGTCAGATTGGGAATGAGTGAACACTGCGGAGGTACAAGTAGATCATCACACTGCGGAGGTACAAGTACATCATCACAGTGAGGAGGTACAAGTAGATCATCATCACAGTGCGGAGGTACAAGTAGATCATCATCACAGTGAGGAGAATGGTGCTGTGAGGAGTGACCAGGGGATCCGGCCCACACTCAAAACTTCAAGGAAAGGTGAGACAGGTCAACAATCAGACTGTTACTGGTACCATCTCGGAACTGGAACTCTGCACTTGCTGCTGAAGATTGGGACGCAGCACTTATGAGAATGATTCTCTATTCAACATTCCAGATATATAGACAGCTGCTGTGGTGTAGTGGCTAGCTGCTCGATTTCTGGCCCGAAGGTCTTTACAAAGAAATCAAGTCAGAAAAATTACCTTGGTTCTTAAGCCTACCCAACCCAAAATGGGTATTAGGTAAAGCCCCGAGAAGGTGGTCAGTATGATGTTCCCCACATCAGCCATCAAGTGCCGGTCTATAAAAAAAATATGAGCTAGCACCATATGCCTGAAGCAACACTGGTGTAAAAAGGGGTAGTTTATTTTTCTTTACCTAATAGAACATATTTAGAATAACCATAAATTAAATCTTCTTCTACTTATTATAATCTATGGCATGTGGTGTTGGTAGGCCTGTCTTTCCACAACATTTTGTCTTGTGTATTTGTAATCATTTCTGACACAGATGATCTTCCATCCCTTGTGGTTTTGGTAGTCATGTCTATCTAAAAACCTTTTGTCCTGTGTATTTTCAGTCAAATCTGACACAGACGATCTTCCATCTCTTTTGGTTTTGGTAGTCATGTCTATCCAAAAACCTTGTGTCCTGTGTATTTTCAGTCAAATCTGACACAGACGATCTTCCATCTCTTTTGGTTTTGGTAGTCATGTCTATCTAAAAACCTTCTGACTCATGTATTTTCAGTCAGTTCTGACACAGATGATCAGATTTCCATACAGTTATGTCAAACTATCAAGAATTTGAGTCTCCCTTTGCAATAGGTAATTGTTGTATTGTTGAGTGCTGCATCCCCATCTTCAGAAACAAGTTGAGAGTTCCGATTCCGATGGCACCAGTAACTGTCTGATTGTACATCCGTCTCGAATTGCCCCTGAGTGTCGAGCGTCGGCCAGATGCCCTTGTAACTCTTCACAGCGCCATTCTCCTTAGACTGTAATGATCTACCAGTGCCTCTGCTCTGTTCAATCGCTCCCAAAGAGCCCTCACAACATCCAGCTTGTCTCACATCAGTTCACCACCAAGCGGTGCAGAACCGGTCATTCTATCTGCCTGCCCATTTTAGGGAAATGGTGAGGTGACCCATTTACTGCAAAGTAAGAACTTCAATTAACTCATTAGCACAGAAGAAAAACACAAAGGAACACAATAAGACAATATAACATAACAGATTTTTTCTAAAAATGACTTGGCTTTCTGGGGAATGCATTGTAAATACTGTGTGGTAGGTAATTTTGCGGCAAATAAATCAGCTAAAATAATGCAGACGACATCATCCACAGAATGTCAGTTGATCCACAAATATGGGGGCTTTGACAATGTACCCAGTGCCCACTGCTAAGCTATATCTCAGGGCCTCACAATCTGCAGGGGCTTAAAAAAAACCTTTTCTCATCCAGAAAAGCAATTTGCCTTTAATAAAAAAAAAAATTGCTATAAATTGCCTGATTTTATTCATGTCATTTTGGGTAGATTATCTCAGTTGCATATCCTTTACAGGACACTGCAGAACCGATCCCAGCATTTTTTTGGCTGTTTAGTTTTTATAGGCAAATTTACGTCCAATAGTTTGCCATTGCTTCTTTGGACAGTCGGCTTCTCGATACCACTGTCAAAACCAGCGTAAGGCCCGCAGCTGGGATTGAACCAGGCACCCCTGCATTAGGAAGCACGTTTGTAATGCCCAAGATATTATCTCAGGCTACTATTTATTCCACTTTGTTAATGTTAATCTTAGTTTCAGCATCATAGCAAACAGGTCACCCCATAGTTGCTCCGCTCCTGTGCCAACGAAAAACACACAGAATGTTTATGACAGTCCCTTGTGGAGAAATTGACAGACAGTTGTCTCAGCAAATGCACTAGCATACACACGCATTAAAAGCCTACTATGTTGTAACCTCAGTAAACTAAATAAAATAATCACCTTGATATGCGAGAACTTCCCTTTTTCATTAACTTATACATTTTAAAGTTTTCTTTGATTAACCTGTGTTATTTAAAATAGTAGGGGCCTCAGAACTTTACATAGTTTAGGGCCTCATCCAGTCTAAATTCGGCCCTGCCAGTACCTCAAGTGGTAAAACTGGGTCAGTCATCCTATTTTTTGCTCGCATTAACTCTTTCTGGCTGTCAGTTTTAATATTTCATGTACTCACCAGCCAGCGCTTGAGTGTAGTAGGATTAATGTTGAACTCTTCGACAAGGCCTAATTCCTGGTACATATGTTCTAGCAGGCTCAACATCTGAAATCATTCACAGATTTAACCCTTCATTCACATATTTAACTCTTTATTTACAGATTTAACCCTTCATTCACAGATTTAACCCTTCATTCACAGATTAAACCCTTCATTCACATATTTAACTCTTTATTTACAGATTTAACCCTTCATTCACAGATTTAACCCTTCATTCACAGATTAAACCCTTCATTCGCAGATTTAACTCTTCAATCAGGTTCAACCCTTCATTCCCAGATTTAACCCTTCATTCACAGATTTAACCATTCATTCACAAATTTAACCATTCATTCACAGATTTAACCTTTCATTCACAGATTTAAACCTTCATTTACAGATTTAACCCTTCATTCACAGATTTAACACTTCATTTACAGATTTAACACTTCATTCACAGATTTAACCCTTCTTTCACGGGTTTAATCTTTCATTCACAAATTTAACCATTCATTCACAGATTTAACCTTTCATTTACAGATTTAAACCTTCATTTACAGATTTAACCCTTCATTCACAGATTTAACACTTCATTTACAGATTTAACACTTCATTCACAGATTTAACACTTCATTCACAGATTTAACCCTTCTTTCACGTGTTTAACTCTTCATTCACCATTAAAGAACTAAGAACAATGGTTGGGAGTGGGAAATCAAGTAATCAGAAACAATCAGTGCATAGAAGAAAAGGGCTGATATTTGTGCTACTGATACCAACTTTCTGCTATCAGTGCCAAACACTGACAGTCTGATCAGCAGCATGAAAAGAGTTCTAATTGTACCAGTAACTGTCTGACAGCGCATCAGTCTCATTCTTCCCTTGTAAAAGTAAATAGTAAAGGACCATTTTTTCAAGCCTTAAGGCGTATAGGGCTAGATATATTTTTATAGACCAATCGGCACAAGATGGGTGATGTGGTCAACATCACTCCTGCCGCCTTTACTTCCCGGGACTGCACCCCGTACCCACTCAAGGCTGGGTCGACCTGGGAGCCAAGGTCATTTTTGAAAAAAGTCCGGCTCCGCCAGGGAGCGAACCCATGACCTTCCGATCTGTGGTGAGCGTCTAGCTGCTTCCCCATGGGGACTCCCTCTTCCCTTGAGTGTTGAGCAGTGACCAGATCCTCTGTTAACTCTCTGCAGTGCCATTTTTGGGGATCAGTTCTGAAGAGACTGAATGTAACAGATGGCTGAGATGTCAGGATGTGAGAATTTCCTGCGGAGAAATGAGCAGAGAATCACCAGAGAATCACCAGACAGGCACTAATATAGGACATGAGAGGTGAATTGGGTCAAGAATTGACATCACAGCACTGAGGGTATTCCCATGCATGCTCCATTCTCATCTTCAGCAGCCAACGCAAAGTTCCAATACTGATGGCACCGGTCACAATCTGGTTATATGTCCATCTTGCCTTTCCTCTGAGTGTAGTGAGCCGGCCAGACCCTCTGGTTACATCCAGGTGCCTCATTCTCTCCAGGCCATAATAATCTTCTTTCTCTACTCATTCCGTTGCTTGTTCCCAAAGAGTCCTGACTACATCTGCCTTGTTATGTATCAATTCACCATCAGTGGTGCAGATCCAGCCAATCTGTCTGCCTGTTCATTACCCACTACACCAGTGTAGTGAGGATGAAAGGTGAGGATGCGAGGACGCCCAAAAGAAATTCTAAAATGGACACTAAAGGTTCTTGACTGGACTCCATTCATGAAATTGAATTAATTGCACACAATAGAATGGAATGGAGGAATCAACTGTTAGCCCTAAGTGACATGTAATGACACAAAGATAATGATGGTGATGACGATGAGATGTCAGGAAACACGGACATCTGAGAAACCCTAAAATGAATAACAACAGAGACCAAAAGAGCAGCACTGGATTTCATCCATGGTATCCAAAAGGATAGAGTGAAGCGGGAAAACTGACCTCAAGCCATATGTGGCATATAATGGCACACCAGAATAGTGGTAGTAGTAAATTTTACCCACTAAGGCATCACACAAGCGATAAACACCTGATGACACAAAGTGCCACCATGTGGATGAGGATCACCCGTGGACAGGTCCCAGAAACGGCATTCAGTTATTAGGCCCTGGCAAGAACCAGGATGGGGTTTGAAAATAAAGAAAAATTGGTTCCCACAAGGGGATGACTAGTATCCAGTAACCAGAATAATGATATTGATGGGACATAAGGAGCTAGGATAAGTCAATGACATATGACATAGCCAATACACGTGTACTGTCCTCTTTCATTAATGAGTAAATAATTCAAGTGGATGTGTGAGTGAATACAATGGTCGTGATTGACAAAAGAGACAAAACAGTAAGTACCTCATTGGGCTCCCAGTGCCAAATGTCAAATGTCGGTTGTTTGAGGTAGTCCACTGTCTCCTGGGATAGGGTGTACTGGCGAAGAGAATGGAACAATAATGATTGTCCCTGGACATAGAAATATGGTCAGACATAAACACTGCTGTATACCATGATATAATTGAACCAGCATGTAACAGGTCCTTTGCAGAACGTCCCTCTGCTTCCGGTCTGTCTGAAAGAGACTCGGTCTCTCACCAGCTTTCCTGCCTCATGTACTTTCATTTACAAGAAGTCACTAATATCCTGTGCCGATCTTGTTGGTCGACCCCTGCCCCTTCTTTCTGGTACTATGCCTTCTGCTATTATTTTTTCAAATCCGTCATATCGATTGATATGACCAAAATATTGTAGCTTCTGAGACTAAATGCTTGTTTATTAACCAATCTTCCCTGATGTTCAGATTTTTTAAAATGTCAGTATCACTGACATATACCTGAATAGGAGTGATAAACTCAAGATGTTGTTGACGAGGGTTTTTGTGGCAATTTGTCCAGTGTTATTTTTACACCAGTAGCTTCTCCACGGTTCAGGTATCAATTATTTACTGAGAAGGATTCCATACTTTCACCCCAGTCTTCTAAATGCGTTTAGTCTTTGGGTTTGTGAAAGTATGGTAGCTAGATTATGGGTAGTACAGTATACATTTAGGCGTTGCGAGTCTGACTTGTAATCCAACGTACCGCGATCGAAACCCACTGCTGGCTGCGTGGATTTTTATCATGGTATGGGGCGTCGCAGGTCGACCCAGCCTAAAATGGGTACCAGGATGGCTGTCCTGGGGAAGTCAAGACGGCCGGCGTAATGCTGACCATATTACCCATCCAGTGCCGATTGGTCTGTAAAAATACGGGACACTCTTTCCATATACTCGATGTGCTTAAGGCGTAAAAAGGGATCTTTACTTTACTTTACTTACAGTATAAATTATTTTAGGCTGGAATGAAGCTTATGAAGTGACCTGGATCTGTCTCACCGGTGCATCGATCAGTTCACGTCTGTAATTTTTACAGCGCTCCCTGGTAACCATCACTGGAGCTACAGAGGTCTCCATGGCGAAGTGGTCAAGCCGTTTGCCTCGCGCTCTGAAGGTCGTGGGTTTATTCCACGGCTGCACCCTTAAGTTCATGAGTGCAATTTTTACGGAGATCCCTGGAGAGCATCACCGGAGCTATGGAGTTCAAACTCTGTGCTGTGCTCTCAGCACGGCCAGCCATTCTGCGGAGAGAGACCGAGCCTTATGGGATAAAACCCAGTGCAATGAAGTCGATCCTCTCGATATTGACCTTTGGGTCACTGACTTTGCAAAATGTGTGATGCTGTTTCCCTGTGACTGTACGCTTCCCTACATTCAGAGAAATATTGAGTTAACATGACAGTACATACAAGGTGGGTACTACAAATACCATATTCATAGCTAAATTATGAACAAAATATAAAAATATACAGATTATAAATCTACAACAGTTATGGGAATATAAATGAAGTGTGCACAGCAAATATAAAAATATGTACAATAAATATAAGTACAATATAAGTGCAGGTCTAATAAATATAAGTATATTAACAATAGATACATGTACAACAAATGTAAACAGATGTACAACACTAATACATACACTAACAATAAATATATATACACTCGCAATAAATATAAAAACACTTACAAAAAATATAAATACACTAACAATAAATATGAATACAGTTACAATAAATATAAATACACTAACAAAAAATATAAATACACTAACAATAAATATGAATACAGTTACAATAAATATAAACACACTCATAAAATGTGAAGACAAAAATAAACCATCTCATTCTGTTAACAACTGTTGGGAAGAACTAGTATCATTCAAATGTAAACATTGCAGCTTTGTAATTGTGCATTAGTTAACCCCAAGGACATCTGTGTGATGGTTTTCCCTAACCTTCCATACCATCAAGAGTTAGGAGTGCATAAATCTGGCCGTACAAGTAAACATAAAAAGAATGAGTATCTAGAGTGTGTACAAATTATGAGTATAATAACTCTGTGAGTACAATAAAAACAGGTGCATAAATCGAGCAAGAAGAATAAATATTAATACATAAATTAGATAACACATAAAAGTACTTGAACCACGTGTGGACAACAACTGTGCATACACAATTTGTTTGGGGCAATCTGGCCATGTAAGTTTAGACCTATATTTTATAGAGCTATCAGAACTTACTGGGTGATGTGGTTAACAACATGTCAGCCGCCTTTACTTCCCAGGACTTTTACTTGCTACCCATTTATGGTGGAGTCAAGGTATTTATGGGGGGAAAAATCTGGCTCAATTCGGATTCAAACCCATGACCTTGGGGTCCACAGGTGAGCTCTATCTGCTACACTACAGTGGCTCCAAAACAGCAGGTATAAATCTATAAATGGTTAAAATAAACAACACATTTATGTTTGCAACTTAAACAAGTAAGCCTTTGATGATAAACACTTTTTGCGGCTGCGTTATGGGTGTTATGCTATTAGTTTTGTTCATGCTGACAGAGGGACTCTGTCCCAAGACCGCTGGACGTTTAGAGCACTAATTTCCTCTTGAAGTTTCAGTAACATTGTAGATTTTTTACAGGGCAGAGCTGTCAACACTGCGCCCAAGCCCCCAGCCTGGAGGACCGGGAGTTGTTCTCACATGGACACCAGAGGGAAAGAGAAAGAAGGGGCGCCCAAAAACAACATGGAGATAAACGATGGAGAGTGACCTGAATGCGGCATCTCTGACATGGAAAACTGCACTGAAGATTGCACAGGTCAGGAAAGCATGGAAAGTCCTCTCTGAAGCCTCATGTGCCACTAGGTATAAAGAGAATTGAGGATTGATTGATGCTGCTTTCAAATTTGTTTCACAAGGGACAGTAACTGATATCTGTTGTTTTTACTGTAATGGGATTGGAGCAAATGTGAGGTGACCAGTTGTCAGGAAGCTGAAAGTTGGTCTAACCAACTAACAAACAGTTTAAGATGTACTCTTCTTCTTCGCGTTCACTGGCGGAAAGTTCTGGTTGTTTGCCCACCTCTCATCCCAGAACCTGTGTGTTACATGCACATCCATTTGACAGATCTGACTTAACTGTATGCAGATTGTTGGTTCCTTGCCTCCCAGGTAGATGCACTTTGACTTTGAAGGAAGGTCCCCAATTAGTCGACTCTTATGGCATGCTTGTTGGGGAGGCAGTGGGTCAATTCATGTTTTCCCCCATAATTGGGTCCTGGAACCCACACAGGAAAGATGTACTTTATATACTCAACTGCTCTCCCCACCCGCCACCTTTTTTTTGTTTTTTAACAAACTCATATTTCTGAGTTATCTTTGGCTCATCAATGTTAATACAAATTTAAATATGTCAGTTTAAGAGTGACATAAGTGAGCACACCACCAAATGTCTATCTACAGGTGACCAGGTAGGTAGGTAGTTGTACCCCCCCTAGGACATCACACAAGCGATAAACACCTGGTGACACAAACTGTCACCATGCGGATGAGGATCGCCCATGGAGCAAGTCCCAAAAACCCCATTCAGCCGTTAGGCCATATCCATGGCTAGACAATATGTATGAAATGGCTATATTCAGCCCCCCCCCCCACCCCCCCCGGGGCCGAAGCTAGGGTGAGGCTTTAAATAACAAAAAGAGTGCCAGCTATGTAACTACCCCTACGAAACTGTTGAACACCATCTCTTTGAGTGCCCAGAACTCAGTGAGACAAGAAGAACGCTACTCCCTCCGAGACCAGACAAGTGGAACACCTTGTTCGGAGGAAAAGAACAGCTTGTGAAAACATGCAAATTCCACTACATGGAATTGGGCCAAAGGGCGAAAGCTCATGCGCCGCTGGATCGATAACAACAACAACAACAACAACCATGGCTAGGCAATATGTATGAAATGGCTATATTCAGCCCCCCCCCCCCCCCCCCCCAACCCTGGGCCGAAGCTAGGGTGGGGCTTTAAATAACAAAAAAATTGCATCCCACATGGAGACGAATGAGTATACATGAACAGAAGTATCTTGTAGAAATGAATAGAATTTGTTGTATTTTATATGGACTGTAAACTGCTGGAGCACGTCTACAGGGTGTTTCTAAAATCTGAATCTGTTTTTAAGCTATCTCATATTGAGCCTTGTATAGTAAAGGTTAATGGCAGTAGTGACAAGCAACAACAACAACAACAAATGAAACAACATGTAAAAAAAGTTTACGAGGTGAAAAATCTTACAACATACAAATACATGTTCAAGTGAAATTACTCGATGAAATCATGCACACTGACCTGAAAAACTTCTAGCCTTTTAACTTCTACTACTGCCGCTCCTACTGCTGCTATTACTGCTACTACCACCACCACTACTTCTTCTTCTTCTTCCACTGTTACTATTATTGCTACTTCTGCTACTGCTGCTGCTGCTACTACTACTAATTTTTCTACTACTGCTTACAAAATACAATCATTGCCTTCCCCAATTTTTCCTTATTTTGAAGCCCCACCCAGGCTTTTGCCGGGGGCCGCAATATAGCCTATCGGTTGAACGCCGTTTTTTGAGACTTCTCCACAGGTGATCCTCATTCGCATAGTGGCACTTTGTGCCACAGGGTGTTTATCGCTCTGTGTGATGTCCTAGTGGGGTAAAATTTACTTACTACTGCTTACTGCATTTTCGGTTATAATGAAAATAATCATATTAATAATAATAATTTTACCACCACCACTACCACCACCACCACTACCACTACTACTACTACTGCTGCTGCTATTTCTACTACTGATAAATATTAACTTCTGCTACTACTACAGCTGCCCGTGCTGTATTACTATGACTACTTCATCCAATAGAATATATTTATTACAATTACGTGTGCTGACTGGGTTTCTGGGATCTAGCGTGTTGGTCTGCTTGTTAATCTCAAGATGGCATGGTAAAGCTTAAAGCAGCAGCCCAGAAGGGACAAACTGATCGATTATTAAAACTTCTGAAACTTAACAATAATAACAAGGGCTCATCATCAAGTGCCTTGCCAGCTGGCGTAGGCGTTCATGTATCTCCACAGATCTCGGTTTCTTGTGTTCTGGATCAATTCTACTGATGATATTCCTCCATGCCACTGTCTTAAACCATCTACCATCATTTCTCTTGGTCTGTCTCTGTCTCTTCTACCGGTGATCTTTCCAGTCATCACAATATTTTCCAGTGCATCTTTTTCTCATCACATGACTGTGGAATTTTGTTTGTCTCCTGCTCATTGTTGTATGTAATGTGCTACTTTCATTTTCTATTTCCAGGCAATCATTGTTAGTTATTCTGACAGTACAAGGTTAACAAGGGCTGGTAAATCAAAAACCTTTACCTCCATCCTGCCCTAACTGTAACTTCTTTGGAGGTTAAACAGAGCATCATCAGCGACCGGGTTGCCCATTGGCTCGCCGGTAGATGATTTCATCGCCTGCCGGGACAGTATTTGGATCTGTTTGCTTTGATCGCATAAATACTGCAAGAGTCCTTTTCAGGGCTTTTGGTGGCAAGCAGTGCTAAAACCACTTTATATGGCGCACATAACCTAGACACAATTATAACCTAAAGCACCCCTTTCAGTGATGCTGGTTGAACGATTTTTATTTCCTACTAAAGATCCTACCTTCCTAACGGAGTATCTAGGTTTTGTTTTGTTGTCTGTGAAGGACATTTGTGTGTGATTTTCACTAGGACAGGAAGCAACAGTTATGTGGACGCCTATTTGCAGTGATACTAGAACTCAGGCTAACGAATAATGCCGCGTAAACCTGCCTTCTTCTTCTCTTCCACCTTGTACCTCAGTGAAGTGTCGGGGGAAGATGTAACATTTGTTGATGAGCTCTGTCAGGAGCTAAGACTGATGTTCATTTCTGTAAGGCTATTCTTAATGCCATCACTCCATATTTCGCTAGTCGCTCTAAACCCGTTGTAATGTTTCAGTAAACCTGCCTGGGTGAACCTAAATGAGCCCCAGTCCAAAACTGGATCCAAAACAACCACATGTTGCCAGCATACAGTGTCAAGGCTGTGTGATCCCAGGTAATTCAGTTCAAGCATATGTAGGAAACACCTTCGTGATTATAAAGAGCATACGCAATCTTTGATTTTGTTGTCTTGAATTAATGACCTACTACCCCAGAACAGATGTTTATATGGCCAATAGGAATGTTTCCTGTTTTGTTTTTTAATCGTGTCAACATTTTGCTTTTGATATTTGTTAACCGTTGCATTCATTTTCTTCAGTGTGTAGACTGAAAGGTTCAGTCACAAAGCTGCTGAGCTGAGCGTATGGCATGACACTGTGAGCTGTGAATCTAATTTGGAGTGCTTTTTGATGATGCCCAGCGTGGTTTGTGCTATAATCTGCAGGTTCAGTGAAAACGGTGAGTAGTCTGCTGTCAGAGAACTGCTGGTGTCTTGTGCGTTTAATTGCGTGTAGCAACTGACCTGTTGGAACAGCTGCTTCCATCAATGCTGAATTGAATTTCCAGTATTGGACTGTTTGTGCTGGCACTTCTAGGCGTGTGTATGCTGTTTGATTTGCTAAGACTGTAGTCTGTACCAATTATTCCACAACGGACAGTGATGGGAAATTATGTGTGGTTTTCGTTGATACAGAAACGGAGCAACTATGTGGTGACCTGTTTGCTATGGAGTTGCAACTGGGATTACCCAATTACCCGAAGGAGAAGGATTCCAATGGTCGTTTATTGTAAAAATAACATCAGGAAGTGCAGTTGATCGTAGTGTCACAGAATAAGCTGCTTAAACATAAACATACAAAACGTACCTTCGGATAATTGGGCACATCTCGTTTAAGGCAGATTTTCGACTCATCCGTGATTGGCGAGCTAAAGGCATGCAAAAAGGCGGACATTTGGTCGTTTGAAATAAGTCATGATATCAACAGATGACACTGAATTTTAAAAAAAAGGCTGACAGTACGTTATAAGCAGCGGATATTCAACGACAAACAGTTGGATTTCGGCAACAAACAGCTGATTTCAAACAACAATCGTCAGATAATCAGTTGTCAACAGCCAGTATTCTTTTCTTCTTTAAGCTGATAAAACAATATGAGGAGCGGCTGGCCCAGCGGTTACAACATTTGGCTCTCATCTGGGAGACCCGGGTTCGGCCCCGGGTAAGGCAATGACGTTTAACAGTCGTCTCCTGACATCCCTCCCCCCCCCCCCCCCCCCCCCCCCCCCCCCCCCCCCCCCCCCCCCCCCCCCCCCCCCCCCCCCCCCCCCACCCCCACCCCCCCCCCCCCCCCCCCCCCCCCAAAAAAAAACCCAGCTTCCTCAGTCGAAACCACCCAAATAAGTGGTAAATACAGACAGCTTAACAGTAAGAAAGAATAGAAAGAAAAAAAAAATGAAGAATGACCATCGGATAGTCAAGAAATTTTTAGTGAAACATGTCCACTTACTCATTAAGACTGACAAATAAATTAGCCTACACAAAAAACCCAACCAGTAAACTCAAATTTACAATAAGGATGGGCGATTCCCGTTTGGCTTGGCACCCTGCTTTAACATAAGGAACTTCTGGATGCAGGGTCGGCATTGTGAAGATCAGGCCGACTGTTAGAAAACAAATAAATAACAAATTGAGGTACACGTGAATATGTAAGAAGCAGTAACTGCTTTATCACAGACAACACACAGACTGCACTGAGATCACAAAACTATTAGAGACAATCAAGTCAAGCACATGAATGTCAAGATATTGAGGACAAGGGCGACATCATTCGTCTTCATGGCATGCACTGTGGATATATTCTGTGTTATTTATAGCCTATAGATACAGATCCAGCAACTGTTGCTTTCACTTTGGGCAGGCTTATGCTCAAGGAACTAAACTGTCAAAGCAGTATCATCTAAATTTCTCACGTTACGGCCCCTGGCATTCCATGGCTTTTTATTTTCGCGCCACGTTTTCTTCTAATTCCACTGGCAAGACATCAACATGGCTGCTTTTGGATATCCAGTTAACCGATTTTGTGTATTTGTGTGGTTTTGCCTGATTTATATTTGTGCTGATAAAGGCTCTATAGCTGCAACCTTCACGTTTTGTTTGTTATACTGTGAAGCTAGCTGGTCTAATTTTTTTTTCAGTCTTTTCTGGAGAAGCTGGCACTACATACTCAGCAGGCCCTAAAACAATGTAAATGTAATCTTGGGGCATTAAGCTTCTGCAGCGACCTTTCCCCACAGAGGGGCGTGCGGGTGGGCGGCCTGAGCCACTCCGCCGACCCCTGTAGAAAATATTTAAGGATGGGGAGGGGGCGCTAAGTGATACACTTTACTCTCGTATGGAAGTTTTTTTTAAAAATTTCGTTTAAAATGTCATATTATTTCAAAATTATTATATTAATATTTATTTCCTCAATCCCCTCAAAGTTATGTGTGTACGAGTATGTGTATGTGTGCGTACGTGTGTGTGTGTGTATGTGTATGTATGTGTGTGTATTTGAGTATATGTGTGTGTGCGCGTGCTGGCACCCCTGTCGCAAAGTTTATTAAAGAGACACCTAATTCTTGTTATCTTTCTTTTGTCTTTTCTTTCTTTCTGAAGTGTATGCGCTCAACCAGCTCTTGTAGCGTTTTTTTCGTTAACTTTATCTGAACTGTTTCAATTGTTTAACTAGTTCTCTCTTCACGGGAAGGAGCATTGGAAAATGTCGCTACGACTGGAAAGATCACTGGTAGAAGAGGCAGAGGCAGACCAAGAGAAACGATGGTGGGTGGCCAAAGACAATGCTATATCATCAGGGGAACTGATCCACAACACCAAAGACCAAGCTCTGTGGAGATGCATGAACGCTTACGCCAGCTGGCCAGCCACTTGATGATGATGATGAGGTATCTTCAGAATTAAGTAGCTAGTGTCCTATTAGTTCTGTTTTGTGTATCTTACGTCATACCTGGGGGTTATAGGGTTCAAATTGTTTGCTCTCCTTATTTGAAGCAGTTCCTTTCATTACTTAATTTTCTTGCGTACGCGCTATCTGGGTTGTGAAGTGTAAAGTCCAGTTGTAGGATCCGAAGCAAGACGCTATCAGAAACCATGACATGATTTGATTCCGAAAATGATTCTTTAAATAGGTAGAATTATTTTGTCAAGAGGTTACTAAGCCAGTCGTCCCCATGTGGGATGCAATTTTTCGTTATTTGAAACCCCACCCTGGCTTTTGTCGGGTAGGTTAGGGGGGGGGGGGGGGGGGGGGGGGGGGGGGGGGGGCTGAATATAGCCGGACCATAAATATGGCCTAACGGCTGAAAGGGGTTTCTGGGACCTCTTCACGGGTGTTTATCGCTTGTGTGATGTCCTGGTGGAGTACAACATACATACACAATACAAGTCAGGAGGCTGGTTCTGAGCTACTGCCTTGTGAGAAAAATAGTGACAGCCTCAAATATGCGATAGGGTATGATAGTTTCATGTAGAGAGAGAGAGAGAGAGAGAGAGAGAGAGAGAGAGAGAGAGAGAGAGAGAGAGAGAGAGAGAGAGAGAGAGAGAGAGAGAGAGAGAGAGAGAGAGAGAGATAGACAGGTAGACAGACAGACAGACAGACAGACAGACAGACAGACAGACAGACAGACAGACAGACAGACAGACAGACAGACAGATAGATAGATAGATAGATAGATAGATAGATAGATAGATAGATAGATAGATAGATAGATAGATAGATAGAGAGAGAGAGAGAGGCGGGAGGGGGGGCAGAGTCAGAGAGATATAGAATTATTGCGACAGGGAATAAAAGCAACCGCTGAACATCAAAATCGACACAAGCGGGCCTGAAGCAAGGTATGCAGACAGTAAGTCCAAAAGCATCCAAACATTAGCAATAACACTGACAGACATTGATAAAAACATCGACAAGACAGCAACAACTGTGACTGATAAATGTTGTACTGGTGAATGATATAAAGACTGCACTGCGGTAATATTTTCATAATCTGTTAAATTTATAACAAAAAGCTGTTGAAACTAGTTCTCAAAGGAATAAGAAGAACAAAATATGTTTTCATAAAACACATTTATGCACATATATTTTCAACAGCATAATTTATATTTACTTTTCGCAAATTGTATTTAATTAAAATACAGGTTAACTTTAAAAACTAATTTAATAAAAAAATATTAAGTTAAAAAGTAAAATGAACATTATTATGGATACTACCTACTAAGGTATAGGAAAATATATTTTGTTTAGGAAAACATTTATGTACATATACTTTCAAAAGCACAATTTATATTTTTTTCACATGTTATAAAATTGTATTTAATTAAAATACAGATTAACTTTCAAAAATTAATTTAATTAAAAAATTAAGTTAAAAAGTAAAATAAGGAACATTTTTGGGGGTACAAACTTAGGTATAGAAAAATATATGTTCGTTTCGGCAAACGTGTCTTAACAGCCCAGTCACAATTTTAAAATGACCAGTGTGTATGCATAACGTACATGCCATGCCCATGCCGCCATAATGCAGTTTAATTGTTTACATTAGCAACGCAAAAAGCATATAGCTTCAATATTGATACATTAGTGAATACTTACAAGGAAAAACCAATCTTGAATTTAAATATTCTTGTTAATTTTTCGCATTCTAAAATGTATTTTTTGTCAACCTTCCCCCCGTGATTTATTGATCTGTACTTATTTCTATGCTAATGAAGGCTTTATGGTGGTAATCTGTGGCTGTGTGTGTGTAAAACTGTCAAGCTCTGTTGTTCTAATTCTGTCAGTTTATTTATCTGACCTCTGTGTTTCTATATTTGGGCTGACATGGGTCATTGTGTCAGGAGAAACTCAGACCCAGATTCTGATAGGGGGATATAGTTACAGACAGTTTTGATAGATCAGACAGGAAGGCTGGCAGAGAGACCAACAGACCGACCGATCGATCGAAAAATAGATAGATGATAGATAGATAGACAGACAGACAGAAAGACAGACAGACAGACAGACGGACAGACAGACCTGACAGACAGACTAACAGATAAATAGATAGATAGATAGATAGATAGATAGATAGATAGATAGATAGATAGATAGATAGATAGATAGATAGATAGATAGATAGATAGATAGATAGATAGATAGATAGATAGATAGATAGATAGATAGATAGATAGGCAGGCAGACAGGCAGGCAGGCAGACAGACAGGCAGACAGACAGACAGACAGACAGACAGACAGACAGACAGACAGACAGACAGACAGACAGACAGATAGATAGATAGATAGATAGATAGATAGATAGATAGATAGATAGATAGATAGATAGATAGATAGATAGATAGATAAACTGGAGACACAGACAGTGATGGAGATTGACAGAGACAGACAGACAGATCCGTAGACGGATAGGTGGACAGGCAGGCTGCCACATAGATATACAGACAGAAAGACAGATGGCAGGAAGATGGGTTGGTGGATCGATGAATGTATGTGTGGCTGAATCGATGAATGAATGAATGAATAGATGAACGGATGAATGGACAGTTAGCGAAATAAGCAGAGAAATGTAGGTGCCTCCCCCCTCCCCCCGACACTTCGCTGAGGTACACACAAAAAAAAAGAAGAAGAAGAAGAAGAAGAAGAAGAAGAAGAAGAAGAAGAAGAAGAAGAAGAAGAAGAAGAAGAAGAAGAAGAAAAGAAGAAGAAGAAGAAGAAGAAGAAGAAGAAGAAGAAGAAGAAGAAGAAGAAGAAGAAGAAGAAGAAGAAGAAGAAGAAGAAGAAGAAGAAGAAGAAGAAAAGAAGAAGAAGAAGACTGAGAGGACAGATAAGACAAGGTAAGTAAGGAACTGGCTGTGTATTAGAAATCTGTGAGCAGGCAATTTTTTCTGCGTCTAAAAATGCTGCCTATCATCCTCATCATCAGGTGCCTTGTCGACTGGCGTGGGCGATCATGCCTCTCCATAATCTGCGATCTCCTGCAGCATGTATCAGTTCGGGTGCCGACACACCTCCACGCCATGCAACAAGACTGTCAAGCATCTTCTCTTGTTGTCTTCCTCTATCCCTTTTCCCACAGATCTTTCCGGTGGTCACAACATGTTCGATTTTCCCTCTTCTCATAACATGGCCGAAAAATGATGACTGTCTCCTTGTGATGTCCGTGATAAGTTGTCTTCGGGCTCCCGCCTCTTTCAAAACCTATTGGTTACTCTTTTTGGCTGTCCAAGGTATTCTAAGCATTCTTCTGTAAAACCACATCTATGAGGCCTCTAAAAATTGTTTGGCCTGCCTACCGATTGTCCAGGATTCACACCCATATGTTAAAACTGGATGTATATAGCAAGCAAGGATTCTTTTTCTAACTCGCATGACAAGGGATATATTTTGTTTTTGCACAAGAACCACTAGATTTTTTCATTTTATAAAATGTAGTTTTTTTGCCTGTCCCTATTCTGGTTCTTTCTTATCTCAGTTAGTGCATATTTCATCGGTTGGTTTATCCAGGTGCCCAATACTTAAATGTCTGTAGCTTGGTCCTCAAAGGAACACCATGACTTTTTATTTACACATTTAGGAAATAATTTGTTTCTTTGATACCACCATTCGTTCTGTCTTTTCCCATTATTCAAACTGAGGGCCCATTCCTTCATTTTTCTAACGACCACAATGTCTATCATTTCCCTGTAATTCTTTTTTTTTTCTTTTCTGTTTCCCTTTTCCTTTCTTTTTTTCCTTTTTGAACTTTCCTTTTCTTTTTTCCTGCTTTCTTCTTCTTCTTCTTCTCTTCTTCGTCTTTTCTTCTTTCTTCCTTCTTTTTCCTTTTCTCCCTTCTTCTTTTCTTCTTTCTTCTCATCTTCAGTTTCTTTCTTCTTCTTCTTTCTTCCCTTCTTTTGAAAATTCTTCTTCTTCTTCTTCTTCTTCTTCTTCCCTTCTTTTTTCCTTCTTCTCTTCTTATTCTTTGTCTTTCTTCGTCTTTCTTCTTTCTTTTCTTCTTCTTTTTTTCTTCCTTCTTTTTTTCTTCTTCTTCTTTTTCTTATTCGTATTCTTTTCTTCTTTCTTTTCTTCTTCTAATTTTTTCTTTTCTTCTTTTTCTTCTTACTTCTTCTTCTGCTTCACTTCTTCTTCTCTTTTCTTTTGTTTATTTGCCTTTTTCTTCTTCTTTCTTTTCTTCTTTCAGTTTTTTCTTCTATTCTTCTCTTTCTGACCTTCTTTCCTTTCTGATCTTAATTTCTTCTTTGTTTTACCTTTTCTCTTCTTCTTCCTTCTCCTCATTGTTCCTTTCTGATTTCTTTTTTTCTTTTCTTCCTTCTTCTTCTTCTCATAATTCTTCTTCTTCTTCTTTCTTAGTCCTGTGACTCTTAAGACTTTTCTCCTTTGGTCTTCTTCTTCTTTTTCTTTTAAAGTGCCTGGTTTCTTTGGCAGAGCTAAAAATATGGATTTAAAGGGTCATTTGGAATATACCCACTATTATAAATATAATTTAAAAGTTTAGTTATTATTTCAATTCCAAAATCTCCCAGTGCTTCGATTTCTTCCAGTTTCTTCTGTTGTCTGGCCCGGGTACTTTTCCTTTCTTTATATGATGTATTGCATCCTCAACTTCTGCAGTCATTATTGGTGGACCATCATTGTTGGTCTGCAGTTCCACATCTGGTCTATTATCATCACACAATTTCCCTTTGAATTGTATGATGATATATTAATTGTGTCCACTCTCTATGAAGATAAGGGGGGGGGGGGGGGGGGGGGGGAAGTAAATATAAACACATAAAGCTGGCGCGAGATAAACGAAACAAACAGAAACATAACCATGCAAAGGTTAATACAAACGAAACAAAACAGAAACAGCCATGCTAAGCGTTGTTACGAAGGAGACAAAATAAAAACCTAACCATGCTGAACATTGTTACAAACAGGCACACGAACAAATGCTGAACCAGATCTGCTTCTTACAATATTCCGTTACTACCTTGGGGTATTTGGGTATGTCCCGCTTGAGACTAATTTTGCTCTCGTCGCTTAGAGAGCTAAAAAAGTGATCACACGTTCCGCTCGTCATGATAGGCCTAGAAGGGAGTGCAGAATAGGGAGGAGAAATGTAAGGGCGAGCGGCAAACAACTCACTGTAAACATAATAATATAGATGAAATGTCTAACAACAATTCTCCTTCAAAGGGGCGGGGAGGGGTTAAAAAAAAGGAGGTTCTTCTTCTTTTTTGTTTCTTTCTAACTTCGTGCGCTCTGAAGGGTCGTGGGGTTTATTTTACGGCTGCGAGGCTCTGTTTAGGAGTCTATTTTTTGGCGGAGGTCCCTGGGGATCGTCGCAGGAGCTACTGTGTTTGTGCTTTGTGCGACAGACAGCTAGCTGTTCTGCGGAGTGAGACCGAGCCACATGGGATCAAACCTGGGGAAAACACGTCGATCATCGCCACTTTCATTGTTAGTGATATGACATTGCTTGCGTCGCAGAACCAACCACCAGAATGTTTTTTTTTTCTTTTCAAGGAAAATTTACGTTCAGTAGTTTGTTCATTACCTCCTGAACTGGTTAAATTTGGGGTTGTGAACCGATTCAACCATTTCTAGTTAACTCCTAGGGGGAAAATGCTTTTTAATATTCATCTTTTTTAATATTCATCCTCCTCTCATGAACCGAACTATGACAAACATTAGAGTTCAACGGATTAATGACGAACAATAGAGTTCAACGGATTAATGACGAACATTAGAGTTCAACGGATTAATGACGAACATTAGATTTAACGGATTAATGACGAACATTAAAGTTCAACAGATTAAT